CGCTCTTCCTCCCTGTGTCTGGACGATGGAACACAAAAGCTGTCTCTCTCAGACAGTGCTGCTTGGAGAACACGGGCTCTGGACCTTCACAGGCAGGAGGCCAAGTCATCGGGAAACCGAGGGTCTTGTAGTCCTGGGCAGTGGCCGTGCTGTGCTTCAGCCTCAGCTGCACGTTTCAATCACCTGGGGAGCTTGCAGACTCCTGCCCAAGGCCCAGACCACCTCAGCCAGCCTCCAGGAACAAGCGCCAGACATGGCCAGCACTTAAAGCTCCCCATGTGACTCCAGGGTACAGCTGGTGAGCCCCGAAGCTAGACAGTCCTGGGAGAGGGTACCCACCAAAAGGAAAGCAGCCAAGTCCTCAATCCCATTATAAGCTGACCGGCCTACTTTGTGGGTGTCAGGCATAAGGGCTGGGAGTGGGATGGGCGTTGTTTAGTGTTTCCAAAAACCAGACCAAAATGGAGTGGCATCAAGCTCACAAAAGCGCTTTTTATTTGGAGTAAAGAGAAGTCTGGCTGAAAGGACTGCCGTTCTAAGCAGCCGGAACTCAGCTGACAGCGGCACTGCTTGACTTAGTAGGCTTTGCTTCTCCTCGCTCAGACAAGGCCTTCGGGCTGTATTTTCCCCAGAGGGGCAAGGAGTGCACAGAGAACCAGAGCGGCTTCTAAACTACGGACTCTCTCTTCAGACGCAACATGGAGCCAGATGAGCCCTTGCTGGTGACGTTGCAAGGCTGTCCCGTGCCAAGGGACACAGGCCACACTGCACTAGCAAGGAGAAACAAGGCCAAAGGAGGCGTGGCTCACTTGGGGAGGGGCAGGCACCCACAGCTTCAAAATTCAGCCTGGAAGGGGTAATCCTTGTGGGAGGCACAGCTGTCAGGAGAAAAAAGAATATGTGTTTCTCAAGGAAGTGACTTTGACTCTAACAGATCACCAACCCAGGCATGGCATTTCGGTAGCAGCAGGATCAGAAGCCTCATAGGCAATAGGACAGTTCTGAGTCTTCAGGTCATGGGCCTGCAGCTGGGGCAGCAGTCCTCTCCAGACCCCTCTGCCAGGACCTCTCATCAGGTAGTACCTGGATGAAGGACAGAGCCACCCCATGTGCCCAGCACTGTGCCTGAGGGTATGAGGACAGCAAGACGTGATTCCTGCCTCCCAGTAATTCAGTCCAGGGGGCAGGACCAGGCAGCACCTTATCTTAAACGATAAGATGGTGAAAGAGCCAAGAGATAATCAACAGGTGTTACAAGTCTGCGTGCGACTGAACACCAAGGACATGTGAGTGGCAAGTGCTCCTGGACGTGGAGAGAGGGCACACCCCTGGTGCCAGTGGGAGGTGACGTGAGCCTGACAGAACAGTCGGAGACCTAAGGATACAAGAGACTCAGGAGGAGAGACCGGGGGCCAAGGTAAGAGGGGCAGGTGTGTATGCCACGGTTTCTGTTCTATCTGGACGGGCCAATGGCTTTCTCTGGAACATAACTGCAAGACAGACTGACTGGGCAAGGTGTGAAAGGCGCACAGTGAACGCAGCTCGAAGACTTGAACTCTTATCCAAAACAAAGTTCTGCCCTTTTTTGTGTACCCAGGGAATACGACACTGTCGTCAGTCTAGCCATAGGCACCAAAAAGAGGGTGGCACACAGAATTAGAGGTAGTTCCTTAAAAGACCTGGGAATGTCAGAGCCAGCTCTTCCTCCTACTCCGAGCCCAGTCCAGCCCGTCTAGGTGCATGTGCTTCATGCCCAGGATCCTGGGAGAATGGAGGAGAGGGGCTTGAGGTGTGGCCATCGCCCAGTGTGTGGGGGGGGTGACTTCTCACTTTCCCTCTCTCTGTCTCTTTCTCTGGTAAACACACGTGCCCTGAGGTAACAACCTCTAAAACAACAACAAGACCCATTCCTCTGGAACAGCAGCGGCAGCACACAGCAGAACCTGCCAGCTGTTCCTAGAACAGCACTGGAGGGTGGGAGGAGTCCAGATGAAAAGGGACCTGTTGGAAAACCACGAGGGTGTCAGCTCCTCCCCTCTAGAGCTTTGATCCCTGATGTCAGCAGTGGGTGGGGGGAGAGAATGCTGAACTGACAGGCGTGACAGACTCTGGAAGGAAAATGATAGAACTTGGTCATCAATTCACTTCTCTCACCCTTGCCCAAAATGACTTTGATGTCTAGAGGTTAAGTACCATCAATATGAACAAGGATTCCAGAAAAGGCCCTGGCCGGGCCTTCCTAGGACAGCTCTGTTCATGGCTGGGCTTTGAACCTGAGGCATGCCTGAGGCTCCGGTGTTATCATCCAAGAGGCAAACATGAGAGATCCGCCTGGGGTTGGGGCTGAAGCCACCGGTGGTCAAGCTCTGAGGTTGGGTATACGGAGGCTGGAGAGAAAGCTTGTCTCCGACCTCGTCTGAGGAAATGTTCCAATTCTGCTTAGGAGAAAAAGTAGTAAAGGGCAGAGAGAGGCTGGAGAGGGTGAGGCTAGTGAGAGGTAGCCCTTAGTCTCCACTGCAAAGTGGGAAGTTGCTTCTTGGAAGTAGAAAGTGAGTTTTAAACTTTATTTATTGTACTAGCAGGAAAAGAAAAAAAAAAAAACACCCTACAAAACACCTTACTGGTCACTCACTCCATCAGGTTCCAAACTACAATTCAGAGGGAATACAGAGAGCTGGGAGGATGTCACTGGGGGTTGCTATGGTTTGGATATGGTTTGTCCCCCAAAGATGCATGTGCCGAGAGCTTGGGCCCACTGTACTGGCGTTGAGAGGCGGTGAACCTTTAGGATATGGGTCCCATTGGGTGGTGTTTGCATCATGGGGCATGGTCCTCATGAATAGACTAATGGCAGGAAGAGGTGAGCTCTCACTCTCATGAGAATGGCTCAAAGTTCCCACAAGGACAATTGCTACAAAGGTAAGTTGGCTGCCCACAGGAGGAGCTCTCTCTGCATGTGACCTTTCCACTTCTCTCCACCATATTGTGATCCAGGGAAGGCTGGCCAGATGCTAGCCCCTTACCTTGGGACTTTCCAGTCGCCAGAATCATGAGCTAAGTGAACCTTTATTCTTATGAAATCAACCAGGCTCAGGTTGGTTGGCCCAAGCCCAGGGGCTGCTTTCTGGCCACTCATTGCATGAGGTGTCTGTTAGCAACACAAGAATGAAGGTCCACTAAGTGTCTGAGTGAGTCACGTGCCCTAAGTGTCAGAGCTCCAGCTCAAAGGTGTCCCTACTAAACTCTATCAGTCATTTGGACAAGGCGTCACATGTAAATTCTCTCAGGACTGTGCAGCAGCCACCTGGGATCATCTGGTTTCAGATGAGCCACTAAGATTTGAAAATTAAATGCCAAAATTAGTGGTGATTACAAGTTAGGCTGACAATGGCCCTGGGCAGGTGGAGAACATATCTATCAAGAGCCCGTCTCCGGCATCCCCCCCATGGCTCTGTGCAGTCCCGTGCATACAGGTAGAATGTTCCAGCAGTGCACAGATGAGAAAGCAAAGCCTTGTCAGAAGGAAGAACAGTGGCAAGAGGACCTGGTGGTAAGGCCTGCGGGGATTGGTCCTTTGTTTTACAGCAGCTGATGATGTGAGCACCCTGGGACTCACTCACCTCACCAAGGCACAGACCCTCCAGTTCCTGTTGAAGCTAAGCAAGGTGGTCATATCCTCACTGCTCAATTCAAAGTCAAAGACCTTAAGGAGGAAAAAAAAAATCCAGTAAGCTCTGCAAGTAAAGAGCAAAGACTATTATGCGAGACCCGGATGAGATGCTTCTGTTGCTTTGAGCAGGGTGGGGGTGGCAGGGCGGGCAGTCAGACGGAGGTTGGAGCCGGTTTCTTACATTTGTCTTCAGAGAATGCTCATTTAGGCTTGGTTCTAGTGGAACAACAAAAACATCCTTCCCTTCCAGGACCTCTAAGCAAAGTGCTACCTTTTACTCTATCTACCAGGTCATTGGGAAAGTCAGGACGTCTTTTTCTACTTTATTTTAACATAAAAAGGCATCATGACTTTTCCAGCGACCTAATATTTCATTTCAAAACCACCAAGCTCTTCTGTCATGAGAAGCCTCAGTGGGGAACAGCGATGGGCAAGTCGTGTCACTGCCTCCGTTTACCACAAAGCCAAGGGCAGAGGTGTTTCAACAGCTAGGACACCAGCAGTCAGTGACCTTGTGCGGTCTGAGACACCATACCAGTCACTCAGGGGGTCCAGAGGCTTTAGGAATGAATTCTAGGGACCGCCCTGGGGCGGCTTTTCTCCCAATGTGGAGATAGGCCGGCAGAGAGTTGTTGTCCCTGACTGGGAGAACAGGCAGCAGGGAGGGGATGCAGGCAGCTGAGCTGACCCCGACGACGGCACTCCAAGCACCCTCATAGAACACCAGGCTGGTGCCCTGGCACAAGGCCAGGCTCCGCCCATTAACACTGGGATTCTCTGAAGAACTGGCCGGGGAGCTAAGTGGCCTGGAGGGTTCTCTGGGGTTGGCAGACCGACTGATCATCAGCACAGCAACGTCCCTTGAGTGCTCAGAAAGATACTGATGTCACTGTGGGAAGCACTTCGTGCTTCACCTTGATCTTCACAACAAGCCTTCTCCAGTGCAAACAGAGGAGGCCTTGTCCAAGAATGATCCTTTCTCAGCATTGCTATCAGTCAAGATATGTGCCTGCACAACTCGGGGCCACCGAGGCAACGGCCTACTGCAGCACAAGGGTTCCACCCTGAGAAGTCACTGCCTCGGGCCCACAGTTTGTTGCCACAGTTTACTGAGTTGGGCTCCATGGCCTGAGAGGACAGGAGGGCAGGCAAGAGGAGGAGGGAACAGGATGAGGAAGAGTTTCTTCATCTCCAACTCCACTGAGGACGGCCAGTGCGGTTTTTACCTGAAAGTTCTCAGCAATGCGTTTCGGAGTCACAGATTTGGGGATCACCACCAAATTCCTCTGAATGGGGAACCGGATCAGAACCTGTGAACCCAGAGAGGCACCGAGTGTGTGGGCACATCAGACCCTCTGCGCCATCATCTCATTTAATCTTATACATACACATAACCTGAATGGGGACATGCTAGGATGTCACTGGGGAAGGCAGAGGCTCAGAGATGTCTGGGTCACACCCAGAATAGCGAGAAGTCATGCTCAACTCTACAAAGCCACTGTGCACGTGCTTCAGCATCTCCAGGGAGGTGAGATTACGAGAATAGGACAGTGAGACTACTCCCTGCCTGGGAACTCACTCCCATTCGGGAGAAAAAAAATGCTGCCCATGCTTGGGATGCTCGAGAGGAGAGCGGTGGGACAGTTCTTCTCTTTGTACAGAGAGGTGCCACCACAGAAACTAATCCCTGGCAGCCCACAAAGGCAGCGAGGACAGGGATTGTCACACAGAGACCACGTGGCAGGGTCTTCTCAAGTTCTAATCTGTGTGTCTTCTTTTTTTTTTTAATAAAATACAGAGAGATTTTTACAATATGGTACGTTCACTCGCCAGAGAAAGAGACAGAAAGACAGAAAATGAGAAATCACTCTCCTGGGGGGAAGGCCACAGCGCAATCTCTTTTCCTCCATTCTCCTCTCAGGATCTTGGGCACACACGCTCATGTACCTGATGTGAGTTTTAAGCTGCTGAGTCTGGGACTCAAACTGCAGTCGACTATGTGGGAGTCCAGTGATATAACCATTATACCATCTCTGGTCCCAACCTGTGCCTTTTCTAGTACACACTCCAGGATCCCACTGAGCCCTCCCCCTCCTGGCTAACAGGGATCACCTAGTTTGTAAGGGCTGTGGGGACAGCCGCCAGCACCGGGAACTGCTGTACCTGGGCTGTAGTTTTATTGTGCTTGGCTGCAATCTCCTTGATCCTGGGATCCTCCAGGATGGATGGGTCCTCAGGTTTGGCCCTGGTAAGAAAGATGGTGCAGGTTAGCAGCCATCGCCACTGCCACTCGAGGTTGCCAGGGACTCTGTCCTGATCTTCCACCGACCTCGGGGCAGCTGGCCAGCCGTGTTCTGACTTGAAGCTGGATTATGAACATCTGACTCTTTGGAAGGAGTAGGCTCTTGCTGCCAGAAACTACCTGCCCCAGGAAACCCAACACGAGGCTCTGGGGGGAAGGCTGCAATCAACCCCAGAACCCCTTTCCTAGTCGTTTCTCATCAGCACCAAGCAACAGGAGAACGCGACCCCACGGGTGCCCACCAGGGTCTGTCGGGAGAGCCGAGGGGGCTGTAGGCAGTCACCACGATGCCTTTGGACTGGCAGTACTGCACCAGCTTCTCCTGAGTGAGGTACGGGTGGCACTCGATCTGCAAAAGCAAACAGGAAGGCTGATGGCGGCACTGTGGCCACAGGCCGAATGAAACACAGGCCAAGTTCCCATTGCTAAGTCTTCCCCCATCACAGAACATTATGGGTAACCGATGTCCTATTTCCCAGATCCACTGTAACCAATTTCTACTTTCGCAGCCAGTGTCCTTGGCACTAAGAACAATCTTGTTACTGATGTTCTACGGTCATGGGCCCTAGAGGCTTTTTCTGGCTCTCGCCATCTATCAGCTGTCACAGGTCTGAGAGCTCAAACCCTTTCCCTCCTCAAAAGTCCACTCCCCAATGTGCCCCGTCACACCGAATCACAGCTCAGGACTCTGCCAAGGTCAGAGGCTGCTTCCTGGCTGTGCCCTGACTGACGTGGACACGAAATCACGGCCAGGACCAGAGGCAAACAGGATTCCATGGGCATGTGCTTCCCCAGGGGATGTTTACCTGGTTAACGGCTGGCTTATACTTTAAGCCAGGTTTGTTTAAGATCTTCTCGACCTGGAGATGGTTGAAGTTGGAGATGCCAATAGCTTTCACCAGCCCTTCATCCACCAGTGACTCCATGGCCTACAGGAAAAAGAACACCTGCTTAGTCCTGAAAAGAACCCCCAAGAGGACAAGAATGAGAAACTTGTCAGTTTAACAGGTCCTGCCCTCACTATCCAGTGTGAGCGAATTCAATTTTTCAGAAGCCAAGAGAATAGACAAAAATCAGGACGGCTTTAAGACAAGAGCAAAAACAGTGACAGAATTACAAAATGCAACAAAAGAAATGGCAGGACAGATCACTCGCAAGGAGATGAAGAAGCCAGCAAAGAAGGAAAAGTCCAGCTGGGGATGTCTTACCGCCCAGGTGTCCAGAAAATTGGTGTCGCTGGGAATCACGTTGCCGGCTCCATCCAGCGGGAAAAAGTCCTTCCCAGTCTGTCATTACAACCCAAAGCAAAAGATACAATTAATAAGAGCCCTTGATAGACCTTCTGGGAGAAGCTGCATCTAGAACTTATTCGGAACTACCACAGCTGGCTAAGTATGCAGGAGACAATCAGAGGCAAATCAGTGCACCAGAGAGAGAACAGGCAGACCCCGGCAGATGGCCCAGGCTGCATCTATCGTGTGGCGGGGCTGCAGGACTGTCAAGTGGAGACATGAACAATACTAGGTCATCACAATTCGCGCTGCCCTGTGGGGCCTGGAGAGAGTGGCTAGGCCCCGGCATCCCTGGGGCCCACAGCCTGCTGCATTATTGGCCTGTAAACCCTGTCTTGCACAGCCTTGCCAACTTATCATGAAACACGAAGTATGGGAGGCTCCCTTCAGGCCCCGACAGGCCACTGAGCTGTAGGATAAACCCGCCCACTTGCAACCTGGCTGACGAAGTGGCCAACTGAGCCAGTAGCTAGAAAGGAGGCAAAGGACAGAATTGCTCTAGAGGACTTTTTTGCAAATAACTGGGCTGCCAATGGGTATTTATCAGGTTTTCACGAGCTGAGGTGTAAGTGTGAAATGTAGATACAGGACATAGTCCCCACACACACACGAGGGGACTTCAAAAAATTCACAGAAAAGTGAAATTAAAAGTATGAGTTTATTTTGGTGCAAAGAAATTCTGAAACCCATGCACAATAGTTTCACAGTACACACTTTCCGTAAACTTTCTGAAGAGCTCTCTTGTTTGTGGGATTGTGTATAAGTGCCTGTGTGTGCACGTGTCTGAAAGCAGAGGGGGAAGGGGAGGGCTGATGGTATCTTATGGCCATGGACAGCAGCCGTGTTTGCTGTCACAAAATTTTAAATTGTACAATCACCAAATGACAAGAGCAGTGCTCCTCAAACAGTGAAGTGTGCACACAAGTCACCTGGGGGTCGGATTCAAGCCTGCGTGGCGCCTGTGAGTTCTAGTAAGCTCCCGGGTGATGCCACTGCCGGTCCATGGCCATCCCTACAGCAGTACGCACAGCGAGTGCCCCCGAGTCATAGGGCTCCGGCCCGGCCTCATGCCTCATACCTTGAATCCTGTAGGCCAGTGAATAAGGTAGAGGTCCAGGTAGTCCAGCTTCAGGTCACTGAGCGTCTTCTGGCAGGCTTGTTTCACCAGGCTCTTCTCATGGTACGTGCACCACAGCTGAAGGCAGCGAGAGCGCATCTTATCACCACCACGTGTAAGATGGCACCAAGCACAGCCCTTTCCCCACAGCCCACCCATTTCACTGGGATGCTGTGGATGTGAGGTGTGCGGGAGCCTCCATCTCACACGTGGATCCCAACTTCCCAAAGGAAGGTCAGATGACCAGGCCAAGGGCACTTCTCACAAGGACCACACAGAAAGCATTCAACAGAATGGGGAGGTCAGTCTGTCACCCTAGCCCTGGAATATGAGAGTTCTCAGGGCTACTTTCCCACCAGGCTGTCTCCCCAGGACCGGCCTTCACCCTTCCTCCTTCACTCCCCATGTCCTTTCTGCACCAATAGCCTCTAGGTAAGACAGAGGCCAGCAGTGGAGAGCTGGTCTGCAGATAGGAGCCAAGTTCATCCTTGAAGGCAGCTCCCTGACAAGGGACAGCCCCTCATCAGCATGGGGCTGTAGCCACTGGGTCCAGATGGAATAACCAACAGAGAGCTGCAGACAGGCTAGCTCAGGAGCCCTCTGTGGCCTAAGGGAACAGAGTTCCCTGGAGGAATCACCTGCCGAGTAGAACTGCAGTCTACCAGATAAATGTGCCCAGGCGCCCCGAGCCGCTGCCCCACAGCAGGTACCTTGCTGACAATGAAGAGATCCTCTCGCTTCACCACTTGCTTCTTGATCTTCTCTTGGATGGCCAAGCCCACCTCATTCTCGTTCTGGTACACATGGGCGCAGTCAATGTGGCGGTATCCGATGTCGATTGCCACCTTCACAGCCTCAGCCACCTGGCCTGGAGGGGACTAAAAAGGAAAGGAATGTAAGCCACGCAACTGGCAACAGCAGAACACAGAGCTCGCACAGAGCCAAGGGGGAGGACCATGTGCACCCCGAGTTCCGCCAAAGCTCTTGTTCCTCTGAGTTCAGCAAGGCTGGCCAGGGTCGTTTCGGGAGCGGTGTTCAAACTATCGGCCCTCAGACACAGGGACTGGGGTGAAATGCCACGTCACTTCACTTTAGGAGATTCTGACCACTACTAAATAGCAGCACAGATCACTTTTAAATGACGTGGGGAAGCTATCTCATTTCCTTGCTTCTTTACAGTCAGATTTACAAACCGCTGTGTGACAAGGTCGCCCACTATGCAAATCCTGAGATAATAAGGGAAACCATGTCCTTCCAAGAGCTCAAACTACCTCTAAAGCAGCTGTGCTATTAGGTCGTCGGGAAAGTCATAGTGCATTTTTGCATAGAAAAATATGTCATGACTTTCCCGACAACTCGGTATTTACCCCAAAGCCCACCTGGTTCCTGGGTCCAGCTGGGACCGCCTGCTCTTTACCTCCTCCTTTCACGTATGGATTCTGATACTAGCAATCGCTTGTTTTCTAAGCAGTGCTGGAGGGTGTTCCTGACTCCAAGGCCTGTGTGTCAGCTCTTACCCTAGGGGAATCTTTGGGAGGCAGAGACGGGGGAGATGCTCCTCAGAGATACCAGCAGACAGGAGAGAGGAAATGGGAATCAAGGCAGATCACGCAGGGCTGTGGTTGGCTCTGCAGAGACGGAATGGGCGCCTGCACCCAAAGCCAGCTGCACAGCCGGGTAGCTGCAGCAGCACCCAGACTGCATGGACGTGGAGCCCTCCTCGCTGCCTCTGCTCAGCTCAGAGAGCGGAACAACAAACATGTGTGCACCAAACTGTTGAATGGACAGAACGCATTCCTTTGGAGAGCTGTGGTAGAAACAAATAAAAAGGAAAACTCCCCAGGGCCATGGGCAGCTGCAGACTTCTGCCCTGCCAGCAGCTGTTGGGAAGGGGGTGGGGGTGGAACACATGGTCCCGGAGAAGAACAAGTTCGTTTCCAGAGCCTGACAGCAGCTGAGCTAGCTTCCACCACCAGGGAATGGGGGGCGGTGGTGATGCTAGTCTCTGGTGAATTAGGAGGAGGCCTCCTCATGGCATCAGGCGACCTTGTGGACCTACGAAGCCTCACGGACTGCACCCCCTCCCCACTCTTCATGGTTGAGGGAAGGGAGCCGCGCACAGCTCAGCACACCCAGAGACGATGACTAGCCAAGCCCAGGCGCTCTGCGGCTCCCCCAGCACAGCATCACTGACACAGGCAGCGAGAGCAGGGCAGACCCCTGCCCAAGAGAGCACTGTGGGGCTGGGCGGGGGGTGTCTGCCCCACACAAACTGACTTCTCTCAGGAGCTGGTTACCCCACACCTGGCAGCACCAGCCAGGACAGAGGAAGGCACTTTCCCAGGCTGGGCCTGGCCACATACCCTCTGCCACTGCAACTGGTGCAGGGCAGGAACAGGACTCAGGCAGGCATGGGACACCCCCCCACCCCCACCCCAGACTTGAACTAGAACTATAAAACAAGCTTTTATTTTGCCGGGGTCGCTGTGTAAAGAGAACTTGAGTCTGGTGTTGCTGGAGGAAAGTGGGACTGAGAGAGACCAAATCCTGGTGACATCATTTGAGACCCTGAATCCAGGACACGCAGCCAGTGACTGCCATTTGGAAGGTGGGTGAATCCCCAACATGCACTCTTTCTTTTTTTCTATTTAAGATTAAGTTGTTTCTTCAGTGCCTTAGAAGAAAACAGCTCAGGTAAGGATAGTCAAAGTGGCCAAACGACTGATGCAAAACTAAAAAGGCTCACACGATGTTTTCTAAAAAGTCACGGACAGAGCTGACCGCAGAGGTCACCGAGAAGCTGCTGCCTTCCGACTCTTCGCAACTGCGACTAATGAGCTAAGGACTCTGCATGGCCCAACTCCAACCAGGCTTCCGAGTTATCTGCGAGGCCCATCGTTCACTTCCTTGTACAGGCCAATTTTAGCAAAGAACCCTGCTTAGTCAGTCTAGCAAGAACCTCGCTCCCTCCATAACTGATCAGGCTCCTCACCCTCCACACCCCCAGGGAATGCCTGATCAGCACGGCCTGTCTTGCATCCTGTGAAGTCAGTTTAGCCTGTATGTGCCCACCCCACCTCCAGGCCCCTGATGTTCCCTCTCGGTGATTTTCTATCCACCGTGTTTGCAGTTGAGCCCCGCCTCTCCAGCACTCCGGGGGCCCCACTGCAGTAGTCCCTAAGCCTATCTTGGTGGTCCTAGATAAAGTCTTCCTTATCATGCTTTAACAAGCAGCACTGGATAATTTCTCCTTAGTACGACAGTACTGGGAAGCTGACCAAACTGCTTTCAACGAGAAAAGAAGAAAGTTACCGTCTGGGATGAAAATGTACCAGAATCATAACCACGCTCAATAATAGTTATCTCAGTGCAGTACCGTTCCCTGAAAGAGACTAATTTGTCTCATCTATAATGAAGCAGTCAATATAAGTTATGGTAAGAAACCACTCAATGAACTTGGGAATGCTAACATGTGGTTAGGACTTCTTCCTAGTCCATGAAAACACACAGAAAATGCAAACAGAAGGGAGGGGTCCACATTTAAAAGATCAATCAGGAAAGCATGTTTCCATCAGTGGAAACGGAATACTGTACAGGAAAGACGCTACAAATAACTGAACTGTGCAAATCCTACAGGTTAACTCACGTTTTGGACTTGACCCTACCCTCAATCTGCCCTGTGATATGGACAATTCCATGCAGGCCTATATCCCTTGGACCACATGGTTCTATAAAACTGTATGTGGGACAGTTAATTTACCACACTCTTGGCTGACCGCACCAAGTGATGGCAGTGAGAAAGCTTTGCCCCTCATGGTAAATATAAACCATTTCAATCACATGCAAGTTAAACAGGCATTTGTGACCGTATTTCTCAAAATGTATTCCAAATTCCAAGTAATTTACTTAGAATCTTCTGAAAGAGGTGTTGGTTGACATTTTGGTAAGGGGCTTTGTGGGCCGAAGAGTCTGTCTCAGCTGCTCAACTCTGTTCCCATAGTCCAAGAGCACCAAGAGCTAAAACATACAGGAATGAGCACTCAGAGCTGAGGGGGGCCTACAGCTGGCTAATCTGAAGGGTTAAACAATGTATTTTTCGGGACCAGCAGTTGGTGTAATGGCTATGTTGCTGGACTCCCATGCAGTTGGCCACGGTTTGAGTCACAGACCCGGTGGTTTAAACTCACAACGGGTGCATGTGTGTGCGTTCCCAAGATCCCGAGAAGAGAATGGAGGGGAAGGGACTGTGGCGTGGCCACCGCCCCCCCCCCCGGGGGGGGTGATTTCTTGCTTTCTCTCTGTCTCTGTCTGGCAAGTGCATACGCCCTATAGCAAAAACCTCTCCAAAAAAAAAAAAAAAAAGAAAAAAATGTATTTTTCAGTCATAGTTTTTGTATGACATGGTACTCTTCAAGGCTTTAGAGGTTGAGGCTTGTTTCTTCATTTCAAGAGTAAGTTCACATAAAAAATAATGGCTTTGCTGGGCCAGCAGGTGGCACAGTGCTTAAGGTACCAGACTCCCACATGGCTGACAACATTTCAAGTCCTGGACCTGGGGCTTGAAACTCACGAGGGGTGTGTGTTCATGTATGCCCCAAATTCCAGGAGAATGGTAGAGAAAGGAATGTGGTGTGGCCATCCCCCCAGCGGGTGATTTTTCACTTTTTCTCTCTGTCTCTCCGGCGAGCACATGAGCTCTAGAGCATAAATCTTTCTCTAAAAAATAACAATAATAATAATAGTGGCTTCCTATTCCTTATTCCAGGATGCATCATTATTCCACTGATCTCATCTTTCTTACCCAAGATGGGTTTTTTCCTTAAGTGATGTATTCTTTGTTTCCCCCACCTTAGCTTTTGTTTCAAAACGAACACCTCCTAACCAGAGAAGAAAAATAAAAGCTCATTCTTCCAGAGATCCCCATGGTTAAGAGAACAAAAGATTCAATCTCAGCTTTACATATTGATAAACAAGGCATAAAATTCATGACACTCACAATATTCTGATAGAATAAGCATTAGGGAAAGCCCAGAGAATGAGTGTTATCTTTCATTTACTACCCTGGTCAAGAGAAAGTGTACTTGTCATTGTTTGATGCAGATAAACCAACTTCACTGGCTTGTATCCACTTGACAGCTTAATGTAAATTGCAATTTCCAATGATAAAGACTGGCTGCTGAAGAATGATCTTTTTTGCTGCCTTATCACACTGAAAACATAGTCAATCTGCCTAATATTTTACCTCAAAGCCTATTATCAGGCTTGGCATAACCACCAGACTAATCAAACCAAGACTAAGCAGCTCTACTTTAACCCATCTGTCCTGAATCCTAAGATCCGGACAGTTCTAATGAGTAAGAATGCAGTTGGTTGAGATGGGCATGGCTCAGGACTTGCCCTCCACGGGCAGGACCTATGTAAGTATCTTTGATCTTGAAGGAGAGGTGGAAGCCTACAAGAAGACCAGGCAGGTGGTTGTAAGCCAAGCTCCTGTGTTAGTGCCAGAGCCCACAGCACCTTGCATCGCCTCCCCATTCCCAGGTGTGGGCCATCGTAACCTCGCCCACTGGGGGAATGCAGCAGGAAGTCTTTCTTGGCATAGTCTCTTCTACCTCGTGTATTCACAAGGAGGGTGCTATTATTCCCAAAGAGGCAAAAATAAGTTCTTGAAGGGAAAAAAGCTTATACAATAGTTTGTGACCCTCTGTGGGGCTACAGGACAAATCAGAAGTATAGTATCAATTTCAGGGGGGGGGATATAGGGCTGGGGGGCTAGGTAACCATGGGAAAACTATTTCAAAAGGCTCCTGAGCGGTGAGGGGTAGAGGCAATAACAGGAAAAAAAGGCTGAGACAGTCGTATCTGCATTCCTAGGAGAACTCCTAGCATATGTGTGAGTTACAGTGATCACTCACATCGATCGTTACTCAGCTAGCTCAAAAATATGATCAGTAACAAAACACCAGCCAGTCTGAGAGGTTATCTCTGTATTAAAGGCTTCCTGTGATCCAACAGTATGGGCTTATTTACTGACCAATGGCGAAGGCAAGTCTACCAGGAAAAAGCCTTGCCTAAGCACATGGGGTCTGGCGCAGGTTGTCTGCCATCTGCCTGAAACCCTCACCTCTGAAGAGAGAAGGGAGTCTGAGGACCTTCACTGAACAGCAGACTGAAGACTACTGAGCCCTACTCAAAGCCTGAAGGGCAAAATGCAGCCGCTCGGATATGGAAAGATCCATGAGAACAAGAGCTGCACCCACTTGCAGAGCCTCCTCCAGGGGCACAACCAATGGCTGCATTTTTTGTCGAACTCCTGTAAAGGAGTATATACACATGTACAAGGGAAAGGTATTAAGTCATTAGAAAAAGGAATCCACTCCAAGCCCATCCTTACACCACTGACTTCACCATCCTCTCCTATACCCCAGCTGCACGCCCCAAACGATCCATACCAACCTCACCTCCTCACCCAAGAAATCCACATGGGCAGTTTCACTATAAAGCTATCCCTGAAGTTAGTTGACTTCTTCACACTTCGACACATTGCTTTTGGTTCGCTCCTGTTGGCCAGGCACTCTGAGAAGTGCTACTGAGTCCTGAGTCTTTGGTAAAGACATGATACATTTTGCATAGAAAAAGAGAAAAATGTGTCATGGTTTTTCTAACGACCAATAGGAATAGCAGTGAACGAGGCAGGTTTGCTAGTTCTGAACTAGATTATCCCAGTCCCGACGATGAACTTGTTTGCAAGAATGATGTTAGATCACTAGAACTGTTAGATCTAATCTGTTAAAACCCAACAGACTTTCTAATGTTATTTTAAACAAATCTGCAGCTTTTCAAAGTGTTCAATGCTCAAGTGAGTGATCTGAAAACCATTTATAAAAACTTCTACTCCCTATCTGACCTTGGGTAGTAATTTTCAAATAAGGGGCATGGGGGCATGTGATCACTTTCCTCTCCATCACGAGGATCTCAAATGACACATTTTTTTTTAAGAATTATTTTATTTAAATTTTTTTTGTTCATTGATTTATTTTTATTTGACCAGAGGGAGACATGGGAAGTGAGAAAGCAAGCCACCAGGTGTGGGACTCAACGATGGTTGACCATGTGCAGTGTCCAGTGCCTTAACCACCATGCCACCTGCTGACCCCCCTCATAGGACATATCTTTAACAAAAAACAGGTTAAGAAGAGCAAGCAGAACTCATTTATTCCATCAGTGTTCTGTGATGCAAGAGACTTCAGAACAAAGACCTAAAGACACAGGGGAAACTGATTTTATGTTTAGGTTCAGCCAACTAGGAGCAGCATAAAGAAATTTGACAGAACGAAAAAGGTCTGAGCTAATACTAATAGACAGCCAGAAAACTTAGCAAAGCTGTCTGTTCAGATTCTTCCAGCTGCGTGGCATTCCTTCCTCCCAGAAAAAGGGCAGGACCTATCTGAAACGGGAGTCTTATGATCTATACTGCTAAACAAGGTAGCCATAGTATTTCTTTATCGACAGTTCCTACACAGAAAAGTAGAGGAAAGTGGGAGTTTTAAAAAAGCTTTATGGCGCTGGAGAGCACATAGGACCTATGGAGGAAAAAAAACCAAAACAAAAACCAAAACCACACCCTGGGTGTCCTCTCACCTGTCCTAGTAACACCTTTCTGTGTTCCTTCAATTTTCATATAGTCTAGCTGTCACTTTTATTTTGTATTTTTCCATTTACTGCCATATCTGTCATATCCCATTAGGATACTTCGTGTCCGACTGTCATTTTTACCAGGCTATGCTTTTCTTAGGTTTGAGCTCAAGCATTAACCCTGGCGGCCGCTCAGTTATCAGTGGGCGGGTCCTCCGCGGCCTCCGGAAGGCGGCGCCCCCTAATTGAATTACCTGCCGCCAGCGGGCTCACCTAGAGATGCTGACTCCCCGGAGAGTCATAACGGAAACAATTACGGACGACTCCCTACAAGTACGGCAAAGGTGCCTCAGGTGCCTCGGGAAGGTGGGGCTCGGCTCCCACATCTCCCTTCGCGCTCGGTCCGCCTCCTCGGCTTCCGAAGTCCCCCTATGGCGGAACCGGCGCTGGTCCGGGAAGCCCCCTTCCCGCCTTAGCGGTTACCCACCCCCGCGCCCGCGGGGATTCCGAGCGTGGTCCGGGGAGTCGCACACCAAGTGTCGCCGGGGACGACCTCTCGAGTGCTGCCCCGGAGCCCCAAACACGGAGCCCGGGCCGGATGCGCAGGGCCAGACCCGGCATGGCCTGCCTCGCTGGCCCGCCACGGCGCCGCCTCCCCGCAGGCCCCGGGCGCGGCCGCCGCGGGCC